AATCTCAACATTTTAAGGCGTTTTTCCTCTAAATCAGTTTTTTTGTTGCTACTGCTCAAAAAAGTGCTTCAAAATTTAGTTTTATGATTATATTTCAGACAGTTCATTCAAATGATACATTAATAAGGCTTTTATTCATTATATTTTGACAAAATGAACTTTTTGTTAACATTTTATTCAAAACACTATATTTACCTTCTTGGACTTAATCCTGGTTTCGATGTGACGGGTCACATATACTGTACTGTATGTGTTTGAAGTGTTGGAAAGGTTTGAATACCTCACAAAACAAGAGAACATTTCACTCAAAAGATGACACTTTTCTTGATAATCCTGACATTGGGTTCTGCTCAGCTCAGTGATTCATGTGCCTACATCTTCTTTGGAGTGATTGATAATCCTAATACTGGTCTTGAATTGATATTTTTGAATATTTGGATCAACCTTTTCAGAGTTAAAAACACATATTAAGCCTCGTACAGGTCAGGACTTGTCATCGAGACAATGACTTTAATTTGATGACAGAAATATAATCTGAAAGTATCGCCTCTGTCGAGGCTTTAGAAAAGTTTTAAATGTTTGACAACATAACAGAAGTGGACAATGTTTGCTTTACAGATTCCTCTTTAAATACATTTATTTTTGGAATTTTTGAGATTTTTGACTTTGTTTATGAATTCTTTAATTTTTACTTAAATGTATAAGAATGTGTTTTTGGTTGAATACTTTCAGTTTGATATCTAGGATGGATGAAAAGCTGATCTGGCTGATTATGCTGTTAAGGTCTAAATTTGTTTTATATCAGCAAACTGCTCTAATTCAATGAAGTAAAAAATAACAGCTTTGACCATTCAGACCTTGAATATAGAAGTTATATTATCACTTTTCACATTTTGCTCAGTTCCTCGTGAAAATAAGAATCAGAGCTAAGTGCTCAGTTTAAATCCCACAAAGATTCTTTTTCTTGTATTTAATATAAATTTATACAGTATAACAGCATAAGTTGAGGGATTCTTTCTTCATGTTCTGACCCTTTCTGTAATGTTTTCTGCTCCTCTCATTTCAGACATGAACCAGTTTTCATTCTGACAGTGAGAAAATGTGAGTCCACAGGAATGAAGATAAGACTGAAGTCTGGAATGTTGAAGAAATGTTTAAAGAAACATGGTTTTAAACTGCTGCCAGTTTGACCCTTTGACAAAACAACACTTCATATGTCACATGGTAAAAGATGCACAGAGAGACCCCCTAAAGGTGCAACAACAACAACAACAACAAAATAAAATAAAAATATACCCCAAATGAGGAATCAAACATTGTTTCTATCACCAAGCTGCCAGTGTCTGTGTAGCAATAGGACATTGCTAAAATAACCAACAAATTTACACAAATGGACAGATTTGATTAAAGTTGCCTTTTTTTGCTGACTCAGCCACTCTACAGTTAAACTGCAAGCAGTCATTGCATATTGAAAATGACTGAAGGAAAGTTTAAATAACAAACACTCCACAGATGGGAAGCAAAATGTCCTCAGCTTGGAAAAGTTGCTTTTTGGGAGGTTCAACATCAGAATTAAGCAACACACAGCCGGTTCAGATGTTATCAGCCCATTAAATGGACGTTATTAGAGGTTATCAGTCCCATAGAATGGCTTCAGACTGTCCCGACAGTGCCCCCTAGTGGGTTATCAGTGCAGTATACGTTGGAATGCAACAATCTGCTACAGCCGGAGTTAGGGTTAACCACTAACCCTAACTGTCATTTTCTCTGAAAGTAACCTTCGTGGTTTTATGCCTCATATATTAACCAGCTGACAGTCTGAAGCCATTCTATGGGACTGATAACCTGCTAGGGGGCATAGTTGGGACAGTCTGAAGCCATTCTATGGGACTGATAATGGCTAATAACGTCCATTTAATAGATGATAACATTCGAAGCGGGTGCAACACAACAAAGTTTTGTATACATGTGTCCGTGTGTGCTTTGGAAAGAAGAATACTTTGAATAAAAATTATAACAACATTGTTGGACTTTGGATTAAACGTGTGAACGTATAAACCAGTGATGTGCGGTCACTAGCAGCAGAGAAGGCGGAGCCTCACTTGTCATCAAGGAAACAAACAAAAAATAAAGACAAAACAAATTAAATTGTTATATTGGAATATTTATCCAATGCTTTGTACTATAAATACATTTTCTATGTAAGTTAAACAATTTTAAATATTTTCTTTAAAATCACAGAATTTTCTCACTTCCTGAATCTGGAGGCTGCAACAAGCTCATTTCAGGGCTATTCAACTGGTGGCCCAAGGCCCACATTCGGCCTGCAAGTGACCAAAGTTTGGTTCATTCATCTCTTAAGCACAAACCCTCAGTTTTCTCCTTTAATTACTAAAATTATTTTAGTTAAAGACATGTGTCTAACACACTGTGTGGATCTACAGAAATGTCAGAATCTTGGCTAGAAGTTGGTAAAATCTATTTCTGTGAATATCCAAAACAGTTAAAACTACAAGCAGTTGAAGATAAAACCATGAAAGTGAAAATAAAATTTGTTTAAAAATTTGACAAGTCAGAATGAAAATAATCAAAATAATATTTGTTATAAATAGGAGGCATAATTTGTTATTTTTCTTTTTGATATTGTTTTACTATCACTACTTTTATTACATAGGGTTCTGTATGTTGTATTCATAAAATCCTTAAATGTAGCAAAAAAACTTATTCAGCGGTAACAGATCTTTGTAATACTTGGCTTGTTTACATAATAACTAATTGCTGGATGATGGGCTCCTGTCCTGTTGGCCTGATTTATAAATATTTTAATGTCTGCCTGACTTTCCACAGTTTTAAGTTTATAATATATATAAATATGTTTGTGTGCAACATGTTCTGTGAGCTACAACAGCTGAGAAAAGACACGAATGGAGGCTGGCGGTTCTTTGGGTAGGGTAGGGGGCACTCAAGTGCTCAGAGACTACTCTGAGCTGCAGAAGAAGTAACAGGAAGTTACAGTTAGCAAGCCAAATGCAGCGTTTTTGGTACCTGTTTTGTACACTTTTAGTTTATAAAGTAAAAAAAAGAAAATAAGTAAAGTGCAGCAGAGATCTGTTTGTTTTCTCTCTTGCCAAACCTGACTTTTAGAATGGAAGCTTATACTGTATACAGTATTTTAAAGCTCAAACTATTTTCTAAACTGGACTTGGAAGCAGCAGGTAAATAAGAGCCACACCACAGCTGAGACTAAAGCTCTTCTGAAACACAAAGAGTGGCTGTGTTGTCCTGACACACACTTTTTACCCTGATTTTTTTCAACTTGTGACAGGACCTGGGCCCTCATGTATAAACGGTGCGTACACATAAAAAAGTTGCGTGTGCCAGGTTCTACTCCCACGTTGGGATGTATCAAAACCAATGTTGCGTGAAAGTGTGTGTATATTTTCGTACAGTTTTAACTCACAAAGTCATGAATCTGACCTGAATCCACAGAAATATGACTCTGTTGTGTTTTCTGGATGTAAGGAGCGTCTGAACACGCTGTTAGATTTTTATTTTAATTTGAGTTTTTACTGTTTAAACTGAACGATGATGAAACTGAAAATCATTTAACCTCAGACAAGAAAACAGATCAGCCTAAAAATGATCAAAGACCCTCAGTCCAGTCTGTAAACTGGTTTTATATTTTTGTCACATGGTTGAAAACCTTTTGGGTCCCAGGCCAGAAAAACCCCGACACATTACGTGCGACATAAAAAAAATAAATAAATAAAAAAGGCTGAAGAGAGGGAGTAAAATCAGATACAAATGGTGTCTCACTGTACGGTAAGAATAATTATTTTTTCTGTTTGTAACCTTCAGGCTGATGCTGAGCTGAGTTGTGGTCGTTGTGCAGCAGCTGTGCTTTGGGCAGATTCTCGTGCCGGGGCACACCCTCACCAGCTGGGAAGCTGTTCATATGAGTCAACCCCTTTGGACATTTACCGTCTAATGAGCCTCAAAAATCTATAATTTTTGCTAAAAATCTGTAGACTACCACTGGTACCCACTGGTGGGGGTGGGGTGGGGGTCTGTACGTAGAGATGACATCACCTGCTGTAACGCAGGAGGAAAGGAGAGAGGAAAAACTGGATAACGTAATGTTTATTAATTTTTTTATTTAATTTTTATTTTTTTTAAACGTCTGTTCAACGCCGTGTTCAAATAAATAGGCAAAAACTAACCAGACTTAATAGGAAAATCTCAGGCTTTGGTTATCCTGTGTGAATGCGCCACATAAAACAATGACACACTGCTTATTTAGACAGTTTTCTCACTCATTCTCCATTTAATGTGTAATTTTCCTGCATCTAAAACTCATTTCTGACCCCACAGAGAGACAATCTGAGGAGAATCTCACACTCTGGACACATTTATATCTATTTTACAGATTTAAATGGAGGCGTGTCAGGGGAGGAGTCTCACGTGCGCTAAGCTCCACCTTCATTGGGATGTATAAAGGAAAGGTGCGCAGGAACCTGTGTACGCACAGTTTTACACATCTGAATATTTTGGTGTGGCGCACTTTCCTAAATTTGTCCGTACGTCAACTTTTAGTGTGAAAACTGTGCAATCCTTTCTGCATGAGGCTCCTGGACTCAGATGGGATATTGTGAGCAAAACATGGACTTTATAAGTAAAGTTAGGACATAATAACTTTGTTTTAATGAAATGTGCATCAAGTGAGCCCCAGTTTGTGTGAAGAATAGTGGTATGAAATATGAAACATAACTGTTATGAAACAAAACTTCTGCCAATGATGTGGTGAATAAGTTGTTCTGTAGAGTTCATATACTGAATGTGCAAATCTGATTCTGATGAACCAACCATCAGCCTCACCACACGTCACTGGTAGAAACCTTGGGGTGGGAAAGGGGGAGATACCCCGATAGTAACTGCAATTAGGAGGGGTTAAAGTAACGTTTGGTCAAGAACCACAGCTGCCTACTGAGCTAATCAACAGTTGGACTTACTTCAGTTGATATGACAAATCTAAAGTAATCAATTATTTGAAGACCATTGTATGTCAGAAGGCATATCACACAGAAGTGAGCTGCACCCAACAGTCCTTGTTCCCAGATCAGCAAAATAACCTGATGCTGATTTGAGCAAAATGTTTTTTCTGTTCAAAAGTTCCCCAGATCTTCTCTGCTCTAGCAAGACTTCAGGTTGCAAAGGTCCAGCTCCTGAGGCTTCCTTTTTCCAGAACAGTGCTCTCTAGGAAGATTAAGACCATTGTCAGTCATGCAGTGCACCGGCCGCCTTTTAAATCCCCGTCCACAGGACTTGGAACAACTGGACCATGTTCCCACATCCCATAATGGACATGGATCCCCACACGGTCTTACAGCTACAGGCCTTTGGCTGTTGTCACAGTCTGTAGCAGGATGTCCTTCCACACTCTGGCATTGCACCCATCTTCTTTGTGATCCATGACCACAGGTTACCGTGCATGCCTCCCATCCTCTTGTTAGCCAGTGACTATCAGGTTTCTTAACCTTCAAGTCCTTCTTAGTTTTTGTATTTTTACCGTCAACCAAGATGCTGTTTTGCATTTTGTGACTTTTCTCCTCTTTCCAAAGAGTCTTTTCTTCTTTGCTTTCCTTCAATACATAGAAGGAGTAGCGCACTCTTGGAGGAGTCATCTTTCCCACAGAGAGCACCTCCACAGTCAGGGGCTCCTGCAAGGGTCTGATGGCTTGAAGAGTCTCCACAGACGTGGACGTGCCGCTGTAGCGCAGCAGGCTGCCCTTCACCAGCATGTCCCGCTCTGCGGCCGACACCACATAGTCGCCGTTCAGGAGGTACCTGCCGTGTCGATCCTTCACAGCCAGGTAGTTCTCGTCACCGATCATTCCCCGGTAGCCTCGCTGACGGATGTCAATGTTGGCGGCTCCAACGGGCACCGTCACGATAAAGTTGTAACCATTCCTGAACAACAAAGAATAGTTGAAATTTTATTTTAAAACATTATAATGTTGGAAAAAGTATTTATTTTCAAGTGCCATGAGTAATGTTATGTGAAATTATCAAAGAAAACTAGTTGAGACTACAACAAGTAGCAAATGTTTTTGACTAAATAATAAATTCAAATCCCTAAGAACATAAAGACAACATTTATTTTCTTCCATTTAAATGGTATGATATCTTAGAAATAAGTCCATGCTACATTATTGCTTAGCAAAAGGTAAACTGTGATTTACTATTATTAAAAAGTATCTATGTATCTGACACGTTTTGTCTGTAAACTGTCAGTCAATCATGGCCAAACTACTATTTCTAGAGGGTCACTAGCTTCAAATGTTTGGTGTTTTCTTGACAGTAGGGGTGTAAATCACCAGTTTAACAACAATATGATAATTTATGAATTTGTTTGGATGAAGATTCTGTGTTTATTTGTATCACAAAGTCTGTCATGAAACAATTTTCAATTTAATTTACAAGCCTGCAATCAGTATGATGAGATATAAGCCCATATCCATCCACATGGGACATTTGAAGATATGGATGAATATTTTCTGTTTTGCCTCAGTGTAACAGAATCAATAATCATTTAATCAATATATTAATATGGATCAATGTAATGTTACACACAAGGGCGTAACTTTAAGTCTACCGAGGGGGGTGGGTATGCTCGAAAACATGACATTGTACATTTTTAAATCAAGTCAAAGTTACCTAAAGACAACAAGAGAGTTGCATCTGTCTACTTAACCAGTTAATTTCTACTGTGTTTGAGCAAATGATGCCATTTTATTGGGTGGGGATATATTGACTGGATCAAATTATTATGGGGGTCATAACCCCCCTAACTCCCCTGAAAATTATGCCTATGGTTACGCCCCTACTTGACAGAGGGTTTCAGTCAGAGTCTGAGTGTGCCACACCTCAAAAAAGGCTAAACAAAGAAGCATTCTTCAGGAAAATTTCAGGAAATTCTCAGGAAGTTTTCTGAAAATACTGTATAAATAATTTTTTTTTGCAAGATAGTCTATCTAAATGCCTTAAAATTGGCTTGAAGAACCTCCTACTGTTTCTGACACTCCCACTTCAGCACATCATCACAGCAATGCTTCAGGGGAGGGGGGGGGTCTGTGGGGCAGGAGCTCAGCTGCAGACTGATTTTCAGGGAGGAGCTTTGTACAAGTAGGCGGAGCTTTGTCCCAGCAAACGTTTAGGCAGCTCCACACGGCTATCACAGGAGATTGAAGGATTCCTCAAACATGTATGAATGAGTCAAAGCAACACTCTGGGTATGTTTATGATAAGATGATATAAAGCTAAAACAGGTTGATTTTAAGGACCCAACACAGCCTGCAGGTTCTTTTTTTCCCAACCTCCTCTGAGGCAAATTAAAAACCTGTATCAGAGTAAACCCCACCACCATTACTGAAGCAGAAATGAGAAACCCTGAATTGTTTTTAGGATTTGTTTAACTTGTATGACATAACCTCATTATTTGATTCCAAATTTAACAATAGAAACAAAGATCTCAGAAACAGGAAGGCAATTTCTTTATTTCCATGTGATGAAAATAAAGAAATGTTTTTTAAGGACCTGTGACACAATCAACCAGAGGTTCATACAGACAGCATTATTCTAATACATGATTTTAATTAAGTAAAGTTTCATTTATAAAGTGCCTTTCATAGAAATATTTTCACAATGTGCTGTAGAGTCAGGGAAAGTTTCAGTACTTACACAGGCTTTGTGAACATTCCTGAAACCTTTTTACAGCCATGGTTGTCCCCGCCACACACACCACACTTGTCAAACTTCTTGTTAGACCCCAGCTTGCCATCACAGCCTGCCTTAATACATTTTCCTTGAACACACAGAGCTGAGGTGTCAGGGGAGCAGGGCGTCCCATCCACAACCTGCCACATTCAGATCACACACATGGTTATAGATCTGCAGAACAAATCACATGGACAGACTATAGGACTAGTCTAATGTTACAACTAATCATGGATTCCTTTAAGTTTTGTACCGACAGACTTTTATTTAAAACTGTACTCTTTTCTTTTGCTTCAAACACTATTAGGAGCAGGAAAAAAAATCTGGTTGGGCCCGTAATATATCATGGGATATGGTGGGCGGAGAAGGATCCGTCGGACACGTCCCTCAAACAGGGGAAAAGAAGACACATTTGACACAGCCCCTGAGGTTGGACACAGTCTTCGGCTTCATCAGGATCTACCCAATGGTTCATGAGATGTTTTGCTAGAACTATGTTTATATTATAAATAAATAAATACCTTTGGAGCCAGAACATAGAAATATCCGGTTCCGTTGGCCCGGCAGATGAGCTTGCACTTATCCTTGAGAGAAATGCCTGAATATTTCGGAACCCAAACCACGGTGGTACCGAGCCTGTTGGTGTTCAGGTTTAGGCCATTAAATGCCTCACACTGTTCCTCTCTGAAACTCTTCCCTGGAGAGGAAAACACAACCTGTCAGCTACGTATCACAACAGTTTGTACCTTTTACATTAGGCAGAGACAGAGATAAATGTGTCTCTTTAGTAATCAGATAATCCCACACAAAGATCTGTTTTGTGTACAACATGATCCACACGCATACAACAAGATTCACAAATGTAGTGATGCGTTCAAGGCTGGTGGAAAGCTAGGACATTGGGACCTTCCCAGATCTACTGGGTTCTAGAAAATAGACGAGACTTTGACTTGGAACAGTAGAACATAACTCTGATATTAAAACACACACTTACATTACTGGAGGCCTAAAATGACAATTTTCTGGATGCTGAAATAAACAAGTTAAAAGGAGTGGATTATACAGTAGGCTTGTGGATCTTACTTTACACACACATGTTGTTACAGGCTTGTGTGGCTTCTTTTTAAGACTAATTTATCTCCTTAGAGACTTCTGAGTTTACCTGATGACATGAAATGTAAACTTTTCAAACAAAACGGGGACAAGTGCTCCTGTTTGTGCTGTACTTAATAACTACAATGAACAGACAAGGCCAATATACAGAAAATTGTCTTTAATAAACCAAACTGACCCGACTCCTGGTCAGTGTGACAAAATCAGGTAGACTATGACATCAGTCCTCTCATATTCTCAATTCTCATTTCTTTTCTCTCATCAGTGCTCATAGTTTGGACCAATGGTGGGCACCAGACTGCTAAAGCGCAAATCTGCTAATTGCAGACCTAAATTCAGCGGGTAAAATCAGCATTGAACACGTCACCATTTTTCTCAGTAAATATATTACTAGAGGTGCTAATGATGTGAAATTTTCACCAGATGTTGGTAACAACCCAAGTGATCCATACATACAAAGAAATCAAACCATAAATATCCAGAAATGAAGTTATTTGTAATAATGTGG